TTTTTTTTTTTTTTTTTTTTTTTCAAAATAACTATCATTACGGGATACCTTCCTAGAAGCTTAGATAGTTGTAGAATTAGGCCTAAACGTCCTAGAGTTTAAAAAAAAGGGCCCGTAGTAACCTACTGAGAATTGTATGCGATGAGAGCCTATAAGAAGGCTATTTATTGAGTTTTTATATATTCTCCCCATTATACCTCCTTTGTTCAGGTGTTCATTGACTACTGGTCTGAGGTGGGAGAGCATTTGAGAATTACGCAATCGAGGATTGTTCTAGAGTATCATTCTTGCTAGTGTATTTTGGTTCTTTTATATTTTGTTTAAAATAATATCTCAAACTCATTCTCTAATTGGGTCATGGCACCCTTTCATTTTGAATGCATAATACTTATCTACACACCACCTACAAACATGTCCTTAAACCCATTAGGTGGGCTTGTTAACGTAAATCTAGACCTGATTATTGGGCTTACGCATGCTCATGCTGTCGAAACTGACATAAAGAAAAGGAACACGAATAATTTTGAAAGTATTTATGGTCGTACAATACATAACTAAAAAGTAATCCATGACTACATGAACAAAAATAAACATGAGATCCCACCGTTTAAATCATTAGTTCCCTGATATGATGCACATAAATTTTTTTCGTACATTTCATGACTTTATTCTTTCATGAGATGTGCATTCATAATCATGACCTTTCTATCATAGTTTATAAACGTTTTAGTTCATGGTATCTTGTATAACATATATACAATCATATTCCTTATATCTCGTATAACGTATGCATACTCAAATAAAGTCATGATTGATCATATGTAAGTGTAAAATTATTACACAAATAATACATAATCATTCAACTCAATAACACATAACTGTAAACGACAAAGTACGTATTATCTATGCATCAAATAGTTCATCGAACCTAGTCATTAAACATTCCAATAGTAAGTCCACTTACCTTGATAAATTACATACAATGCTCCTACATTCTCGCTACTCGATCATCACTTAAGTGCAACCCTAATATAATCCAATTTTAAAGTAATTGAAAATTAATTTTAAAGCTCATTCATAGAGCTACAACCATCTAGTGAGAAACACTACTAAACTATCTAAAGTAGAAGGTAAGTTGACATGGATAGCCAATAACTCTCTAAAACTAGAGTCATATCTAGTCTTTTTGTATTTAATATGACACTCTTTTTCACCATTTTCTCATTATTTACCCCATTTATTCTACTTAGTGAGCATGAATTCATTTATTGCGGTCCAACATGAAAAAAATATGATTTGGCATAAATCGATCTTAATTGTGCATTTAATTGAGTTATGTGGTAAAATTTCAGACATTCATGCTGAATAGAGTAGCAAATCTGGAAATAAATGGGGGGATGACATGGAAATTTTAAATCCACATCAGCCGTCTAAGTGTGTCATACTACCCAATGAAGAACATCCTATGTGGACAACTTATTCCTTTTCATCCCTAAAGGGGAACCCATGCTCAATGTAAAAGGAAAAATAATACCAAGAGGAGAGCCACACTTTGGGAGAAAAATCGAATTACACAACAGCAGCCTCTGCTGCAATGCACTGCTCTGAAACTAGAGAAGAAGAAGAAAACCCTAATCCAGCAGAAGGAAAAGGAGACCAACAAGGATTGATTAGGGCAAAGAGGTGGACAGCTCAAGAGGAGGGAACTTCCATTGACGAACGACAACAAACCGGGATAACTCTCTATTTTCTTATTCTCTTTTCTTATTCCATCAATTTTACATGATTGAGATGTAGATTCCTCTGTTTAATTCAGTTTGTATGGAGAGTTAAACTTTATAGAGGAGGCGAGAGAATTTTATATAGTTTAAGTATGTTGATGATATGATTTTAGTTTATTAAAGACTTGTTGTTAATGATTTACATGTATGTTTAATTGACTACTTTACATACATAGTTGTTCACTTATTCGGGAGAAGAGAGGGAGCAATGAAATCCTCTTTAATACTCTAGTCCCATAACAAGGAGACTTGAAGGGTTAGAAATAATTATTCTCCTAGAGCCTTGTTACTAGAAATTACAATGATTAAAGAAATAATCATCATTCATGACCTTCGTAAGTGGGCTTGGAAATCTATTAAAAGAAACTAAAATCTACAGCAAAACTCAACAATTTATCTATTAATCTCTCTTAGCCCAACCTTTCTCATTATAGTTGATTTTCTTATCATTTTCTATTTTTCGACGGCAGTAACACTCTGTTTTAGTTTTGTTTAAGTAGTTAAAATCACCAACACCGATTTGAATGTTACCCAAAAACTCACTTAATTTCCAGAGATGCAATTAACCAAAAAGATAGGCTCCCTGTGAAATCGATAATTTACTAATTATTTGCTACTTGTGATAGTGTATCACTTATTTTTGTGAATTTTACATCATTTTATTATATACATCTACAAGCGATCAATAGCCTTAAATTAGGCTTAATTTGGGCTTAATTTGGTCTAAAAAAACATTGAATCGACCTAAATATTTCACCCTAAACAAGATAAGAAATGAAAAAAAATGTAAAGCTAAAATGACGGCAAGAGAGTGAACCAAAGCTAAACTAGCTAAACCAATTAAGAAGCGCACACGTGTTGATGGCACTGAGACGACTTGGACCATGCCAAATGAGCTTGGACTAGGAACTGTGATGAATGAGTTGCCTTATATGCCTAGGCCTGAGCCAAGGCTTAGTCTATTGGGGGTTAACTAATGACTTTGAGATGTGGCCTGCTGGGTGTCATGGCCGTACAATTTCAACCTTACAACGTCGTGATCTTGACACGTTCATGACAAGTCTAAGTAATATGAATCAAGAGACATCAATCATACAGTATACTTCAATGAAGATGTGAAGAAAATATTGTTGAAATTATCAAATGATATTTCAATTCATGCCACATCGAAGAAGAATGAAGTTTCATGTTATAAATTTTAGTTGTATGTTATAAATTTTGGGTGAATTACAATTTAGAGTTATTGTGTTTCATTAATGTATTTTAAGACTTTTTATTTACTTTACGTTACTATTACATAATGGTTAATTATGGCCATTAAGTATGAATGTTAAAGCCATGTAGGTTGTATTTATAAGTAGACTTGAAAAATATAGTAAAAGATGCATGTGTGCTTTTCTTTAGCCCATGGCTAAGTTTCTTTGCAATTTTATGTAGTTTAGGTTGCATGTAGAATCATTCAAGCTCGACATGATCAATCTTGCTTGTGGAGTGATTCGAATCTCGGACAAGTGTTCTTGTCTTGAGATATTTGATCAACAAGAATCATTCAAGCTTGACATGATCGATCTTGCTTGTGGAGTGATTCGAATCTCAAACAAGTGTTCTTGCCTTGAGATATTCGATCAACAAGGTAATCCGAATCTTACTCCCCTTGTAGTGATTCCTTAACATATCACTACTAAGGGAAAGTCAAGTCCCAGATTCATTTTTCACCCATCTTTGTGGTTTCGTCATACCTTAGGCGAGTTTTATCTTTGCTAACCGAACATTACTTGTGTGAAATTCAAGCTTGTTCGGCTGCACAAGCTGCTTGTGCGTACATGTTTAATCATCTGCGACTTAACCGACTTGCCTCTACACTAGGCCAAGTTATTCGACTCGGCCTTGCCTCTTACTTGGGGTCAAGGTCTCTCAATGCAACTTTGCGTCTCATCATGTCATCTTGATTTCCAATCAACATGGCCCACATGTCTTGATGTCATCCCAAGTCTTGGATATCATCGACCATCATAGCTAGCTCGATCATGGTCATTGAGAATGAACCCATGTATCATTCATATCATTGGTTCATCCTGAACATTCATCTATCTGGATTATATCAAGGCATTGAACCCTCTCATATCCATGCTACTTCATCTATGGAATCTGTTTTGGATAGCGGGTGCATAATCCAACCTTTGACTCATGAGTGGGGGTGTACTATTGGCATGTCCGACACTGTTCTTAAAAGATCTATCCAAAAGAAGTTGTTGAGACACTTGTCTCGCAATGCTCACCCTTATTGTGCACATGCATGTGCCACTGGGTATCTCGCTTAGACCATAGGGCCTCGAGGTGGTGGAAAGCTAACATCATGCCTCCCCCTATAGTATGAGTAGATGTCAATTTGGGGAGCGGACATACAACCCCATATAGAGTCCGTCGAATATCTGATTGACACTAAATTTGGTAAGCTTTTATCTTTCATATAGACGGACATAAATCCAGAGTAGCAAGCCAAAACTCATATTGAAACTCTAACTTTTGAGGTTATGGTCTGGGGTCCAACCCGACCCTTTTCAAGCTTGTCTTCGATACTTGTATCGTCTTGTTCTCTCCAACCTTGTGTATGCCTCAGCTTGGCTTGGATGCACACTCTTGGTGTGTTGGATGATGCACTATCTTCCTTGGTGGCATCATGACACTTTCTACCTTGCACACTCTTGGAGGGTTGCCCTTGTCTGTCTTACATGTGGAGGTCACAACCTACTTTCTCTAAAAAGGTCATGACACTTTCCCCCACTTAAGCTAGTCATCATCCTTTTTCGGGGGGCATAATCGCATCGTCGATTGTGATACTCTCCCCCACTTAATCTCGGCACCGTTCCGATGAAAATTCAAACATTAGACTGACTGGTAACTCTGACAATTACATTTTTCAGGACGGTTGCAAGTGATTTTGCAGCACTCGTTGTCACCACTAAGTGAGTTAGCCAACTAGAATTCGTCTTGCTTTAGGGCCAGTGAAAGAAAACGTTACTAGCAATCATCAATTTTGTTTTCCATGACGCTTACTCTCCATCTGCAGCTTGGAATCCAAAATTGTGAGGGTATTCGTGGAATAAATTCGAAAAAATGGTAATGGACGCAACTAAAATGTATCATGGAACGATTAAGATGCATGAATTCCAACAACTTACCAGAATTCTCACCGTCACCATTGACTGATTTTTTTAAACCATCAATTCAAATTCTCAAGAGGTACTCGAAAAGTAGAGTAGGTCGAGATCAATAAAACTGTTATAAAATCAAGGTGTCACTTATTTTTACAACTTAATTTTAGTATTTATTGGACGCTTTAATAATTATTTAGGTTGGTAGAATTTAATTTCCATAATTGATACTAGAATTAAATAGGGTGTTTGATTTTGTTAGTGTTATTTCTTGTGTTAATTAAAAATGAATTGTAGTTTGAAATTAATGGTTTGAAGAGAATGTATTAAAAATAAAAAAGAAGTTTTAATTAATTTCAAGTTATGTGGAAATTGGTGTAATGAAAAATGGCGGGAATCAGTAGGTCAAAAAACCAGAAGTGGCAAAGTGTACACGTGGCGAAGGACAGGATTTGTCCTGTAGTGGGTGGGGGATTAAATTCAAATAATAATAATAATAATAAAACCTGCTTCCAACAAGTACAATCATATTTGGCACATCCAAGATATTCCACGTTCGCTGACGTGGCACTTCCACGTATACAAATACAAAAATTTAATTATATATATATATAAAGAAGTCGTTTGGAATTGAGCAAAATTTATGTATTAAAAAAAGGAAAAACAAAAAAGAAAAAACAGTTAAAAGCTTCGTCCTCCCAAAAACAAAAAACTCCCTACACACAAAAGAGAGAGAAAACAGACGATGATGATGCAGAGCGTAGGTGTAAGGGCGCCCCTCAAGATTACCCCTATGTCGTATGAATTTTCGTTGACAAGCCATTGAAGACCTTCGAGGTGCTCCGGATCTCTTTCGTTTTCTTTTCTTTTTATTTTGCGCTCTGTTTTGCAATCTTTTTTGCCACCTATTCATTCTCCTGGAGATTCATTAATCGGAAATGCTCTCATCAATGTATCGTTTTCGAATGCTTTGTCTATGAATTCTAATAACCGACGTTAAATTCGATGACATTTGGTTGGAATGCCCATTTGGCGTTGATAATCTGCGGATAATTGAAGAGACTCGTCGGGATTTTTGTCTTGTGCGTGTTTTAGGGTTCCTTTGAGAGATTACCGGCGGGTGGTTTTAGCTGTGTCTGAGCTGGATAGTGATCAGTGGAGAAGCTGTTTGAGCATTGTGTTGGGAGTTTAGTTTCGTCGCGTTTTGAATTTTACAGGGTATTTTTCATGGGGTAGATGAGGAAATTTTTTCGGAAGTATTTTCATCCGAGAGGATGAGGAGAATGCTTTTCATGGCGCAAGGTTTGAACAGCGATTCTCGTTTGAGATACTGCATTTGGGTTTATTCTTCAAATGGATGTTTGATCTGCTCTAGAGTAGCGCCTGATTCTGCATCTTGAATGGCCGATAGCCAGAAAGCTGGTCTCGCCCAGAGGGATATCGAGCAGGTTGGTTTTATCGTTTCATATTTTTCCGCATATGTTTTTAGTTACCCATTTAATGTCGTCAAAGAATCTGTATGTGACCCTGCTTGAAAATGTGAAGGAGATGCCAACTTTTCTCTTTCCAGTCGTTTAAACTACTCTATTTGAACCTTTAACTATGAATTATCGTTTGTCGCGCGGAGAGATTTTTGCTTTGAAGTTTCGAATTGAGTGTCTAGTTAAAAATCAAGTTCTAGATGGCTTAGTTTAACGATATTCTCACTTGAGAATTAACATTATGCTGCAGGAATTAACAATTACTCTTAACGTGAAACTATGACACAGCACTGTCACAAAGAAAAAATCTAGCCTGTCCATCGTTTCTCTGCAAACAAATATGAAATGTCGAGGTCTTCCAGTTGCATGTTTCTAGTTGTTGTTCCACTGAAGAATTTGTTCCGACTTTCTTGAGAAAAAAAAGTTTACATTATTATATTTTTCTTGTCTGTTGTCTCATCTTTTCATGCTGAACTTTACCCTCTTACTTTTACAGGCCATTATAGCACTTAAGAAAGGGGCACATTTACTTAAATATGGAAGGAGGGGGAAGCCGAAGTTCTGCCCTTTCAGGCTCTCAAGTGTAAGAATTTTATTAATTATTATTTTTTTCGCAAGATCAAAATTTCAGGTGTTAAATAGTAAATGTTTGAATCGAAGAAGATCATTTATCTGTAGTTATATTACTGAAGGAAAATGATGTAAGAAGATAAAACTATACTGGCCAGAGAATGAATGATGGAGGCAGCATGTTTTATTCCCGTTTCTTTCTTCTTTTTTCCTCTGGCTTTTGAACTATCTAAAGCATTAATGTCCATACTGATTTTCCCCCACTATCTAGTAGTCTTTAGGAGAAGAGACGATATTTGTTATATTTATAGTTTTTCCTCTAACTTTAAAAAACTTGTGTTGGTGCTATTTGAAAGAGATTGTTACAGATTATTCTAGGGAATGGAAAATAAAAAAATACTATTATTTCTGTACAGTCCATTGATATTACACTGTGATAGAACTATTTTGGTGGCCTATACTGTTGCTAAAGCATGGTTAATCTCATTTTGTTTTTCTCATGTCTTGCACTTCCTATAGGTCCATGACCTCATGCTCTAATGCTTAAACCCGATGTAAAACATTTCACAGAAGTATTGAGCAAGATCTTTTTAAATAAATGATAAAAGTTTATTGCATGTAAGATTTTGCTACACTAATAATCCTGTTTCACGATTTTGAATCAGTCTTAAAGTGATGGAGGTATCTACTTCTGCATTTCAATCTTATGGAAGTTATTTCCAGATTTTGATGAATATTTGTTCCTAATTAACTGTTGATGATGTAGAATGTCAAGCTGACAAAGATAATAATAATAATAAATAATAATAATAATAATAATAATAATGTAATCAATGCAAAACTGTATCTTATTAGTTCTCATGCATTGAGGCATCAATATTTGCCTATCTGGACTCCAACCAGACTAAGTAAAGCCATTATCTTTTCTTTTCTGTCATTTTACTGGATTGGAATTTTGTTACAGGATGCTTTTTCCTTTTTTTTTTTTTTTTTTCTTTAAATGTAACAGGATGAGTCTTTACTCGTATGGTACTCTGGAAGAGATGAGAAACAGCTTAAATTAAGTTTGGTTTCAAAGATCATTCCTGGTCAGCGTACTGTAAGTTACATACACATCCTTGACTTCTAAGACATTGTTTGGGAAGGAAAAAATCAAACCTAGCTTTAGTTGGTATATAGTTTATAAAACATTAAGTAAAACAGTGATCAAAATGCCGTAGTGTAATATAACATTGAAAAATCCGCATTCAAGGTATTTTTCTCAGAATGTCTTTCAAAGATTTCTCTTCTGGTTTTGTAAACCTTTAGTTTTCCAATTTTAAGAGGCTGTATGCGTGTATTTATTTTTCAGGCAATATTCCAGCAGCATCCACAACCCGAAAAGGAGTATCAGTCATTTTCACTCTTGTATAATGATAGATCATTAGATTTGGTAAGAGATTACAGTGTTATCCCTCAATTTTTATTTTTCTATTTGATTTTGTGATGCCATTTAAACATATAGTCCGACAAGTTTGTGACACTGACTCACCACTAATGTTGAAGTTCTCTAGTATCTAGTTGTTCTTTAGCACATGTGCTTGCATTTATATAAGGTCGTTTGATACATGATGATTGAAGAAGTTTTGCAGTTACTCTTAGAAACTAGAATGAAGATTTGACAAACTAATCTCATTGTTGATGGACAGATATGTAAAGACAAGGATGAAGCTGAAGTTTGGTTTGTTGGTCTCAAGGCATTGATCACTCGAGGAAACTACCGCAAGTGGAGAGCTGAATCAAGATGTGAGAGTGTATCATCAGAGAGTCCGCATAATCGCTTGCGAAGGAATTCTCCATCCATTACACCATGTGTCTGTATAACGATAATTATAATTATTTCAATCTTTACTCTTGTTCATTATTTTTAGTATGTAGTTCTAATTCACATTTTTCACTTCTTCTGGTTGACAGGATTCTGGAGATCTTGATGGGGTTCCTTATGAAAATATTGGACAGAACAGACTAGGGAAAGCATTTTCTGAACTGCTATCATACACTGCAGTTTCCAAGTGTACTAACCAATCCAAGTCGATTTCCAATCCTTCTCTATCTTCTCCACTTCTAGATAACTCAAATGGCCGAATTTCTGCATCTGAGGGTTTTCGAGTTAGTTTATCCAGTGCTGTGAGCTCATCAAGTCAAGGTTCATGTCCAGAAGACTTTGATGCCTTAGGAGATGTCTATATTTGGGGAGAAGGTATAAGGGATGGATTGCTGGGTGGCGGTCCAAATAAGGTCGGTAGCCAATGTTCATTAAACTCCAAGCTAGATGCTCTGCTACCCAAGGCATTGGAGTCAACAGTTGTTCTAGATGTTCATGGTATTGCATGTGGTGGTAGACATGCTGTGCTGGTTACCAGACAGGGTGAGATTTTTAGTTGGGGTGAGGAGTCAGGAGGGAGGCTTGGCCATGGTGTGGAAGCGGATGTTTCACATCCAAAAATAATTGATACTCTCAGTGGCATGAATGTCGAATTAGTAGCATGCGGGGAGTACCATACTTGTGCCGTAACACTTTCAGGGGATCTTTATACTTGGGGTGATGGGACTCATAATTATGGCCTACTTGGTCATGGTAGTGAAGTTAGTCATTGGATTCCTCAAAAGGTAAGTGGTCCGATTGAGGAGATCCGCGTATCTTATATCTCATGTGGAGCATGGCATACCGCTGTGGTGACGTCAGCTGGTCAGTTGTTCACATTTGGGGAGGGTTCTTTCGGAGCCTTGGGTCATGGGGATCATACCACCTCAAATATTCCACGGGAAGTGGAATCTTTGAGGGGGCTTAGAACGATAAGAGTTGCCTGTGGTGTTTGGCACACTGCTGCTGTTGTTGAAGCAATTAATGAACTTTCTGATTCTGGTACTTCAGCTAACCCTTCATTTGGAAAGCTTTACACATGGGGCGATGGAGACAAAGGCCGGCTTGGACATGGAGATA